TTCGATTGTCGATATATTTTTTCCAGCATATACTAATTTTTTCACGTTTGGGATCCTAATCTAGTTCGAAATTCTTATGGATGATAAACTATAAAATAACTTAATTTGCAATTTAATTATAATCAGAGAAATGTGCGGGACATTGTCCAAATTACGAATATTAAATTGAATTTGAATCTTAAATTCGAATTCGAATATTAAAGTGAATTTGAATCTTGGTTGTTGCTAGTGACCGGCTCGCTACCCTGCACAAACTGAAGGCCTCGTGTACATACGACGTGCCATGTCTAGTGTGTCGTGGTGACCCATGTCTGGTGTGTCGTGGTGACCCATGTCTGGTGTGTCGTGGTGACCCATGTCTGGTGTGTCATGTCTGGTGACCCATGCCTGGTGACCCATGTCTGGTGACCCATGTCTGGTGACCCATGTCTGGTGTGACCCATGTCTGGTGGCCCATGTCTGGTGACCCATATCTGATGACCCATGTCTGGTGCCCCATGTCTGGTGACCCATGTCTGGTGACCCATATCTGGTGACCCATGTCTGGTGACCCATGTCTGGTGACCCATATCTGGTGACCCATGNGAATACGAATATGTACTGAAATACGTGCTGTAATACTGAAAAGGTAATACTGAAATAATACTGAAATACGTGCTGTAATACTGAAAGGGTAATACTGAAATAATACTGAAATACGTGCTGTAATACTGAAAAGGTAATACTGAAATACGTGCAGTAATACTGAAAAGGTAATACTGAAATAATACTGAAATACGTGCAGTAATACTAAAAATTTTTATTATTAATGTGGATTAATTGCGGCAAGGCAGAATAGGTTATTAATACTCTATATTTAGTGCAGGAAGGCAATATTCCCTATAGTTGTTGCATAGTCGTAAAGTATATGTAGCAGGTCGAAGCTTCAATAGGTCACTGCATGTCACATACAGAATATTTTAGGCCGTATAAATTTTAGAAATAATAGGCCGTATAAATATTAGAAATATTAGGCCGTATAAATTTTAGAAAGAATAAGCCGTATAAATTTTAGAAATAATAGGCCGTATAAATTTTAGAAATAATAAGCAGTATAGATAATAGAATTGATAGGCCGTATAAATTTTAGAAATAATAGGCCGTATAAATTTTAGAATTAATAGGCCGTATAAATATTAGAAATAATAGGCCGTATAAATTTTAGAATTAATAGGCCGTCTAATTATTAAAAATAATAGGCCGTATAAAAATTAGAAATAATAGGCCGTATAAATATTAGATTTAATAGGCCGTATAAATATTGGATTTGATAGGCCGTATAAATATTAGAAATAATAGGCCGTATGAATATTAGAAATATTAGGCGGTATAATATTAGCAGGCAAAATAATACAGTTAGGTTGATGTAAAAGAACTTGTATATTATCGGGTTAGAAGAATATTGCTATTCATATAAATTATATAAATTCATATTATTTAACCTTCCAGCGGCGGACATAGCATAAAAATATAATCAATTCATCATAATGGTTCATTAATAGTTAACTATATTGAGATATAACTACTCATGAACTTTATAAATGATTTTATGTGTCGAAGTCGCATCTGAAGAATTTCTCACAGAAGATCTTATTATTTTGTGTAATATATAATACATAAATATACATTGCAACTATCTAACTGTAATATTATGATATGTTCTAAGTTAATATAATATAATAGCGGTTTCAGCGTTTATTAGGCCGTAGGCCTGTCGCCGTTTCTTAACATCGCAGAGCATTCACAGCTCGTTGCGGTCTCGAACTCGCAACTCACTGCTACAATTCTGCTGCGCTTAACCGCCCGGCCTCCTCGCCGATTCTGACCAGAAACTGGCGCACAGAGCTGGGATCGAACCCGCGCCTCTCTGCGCCAATCTTGGTTCTCTGAACTGTAACCACTGGGCCACCCTGCCACTTTAACCACTGGGCCACTCTGCCACACCACTGGGCCACCCTGCCCAGTGGTGTGGCAGTACTCAGTATATAACTCAGTACTCACAGCAGTGAGTGACAGAGAGCGCATTTTCTCGTCGACGAAAACGTGAAGTCACGGACGGACGGACGGACATGACGAGCACAATAGCGCCTTTTTTCCATAAATGAGAAAATGCGCTAAAAAATAAGTGAGATTTTGTCCGAATAACAATTTGCTTTTTTGCCCTTGCATGGGTCATCTTGACACGGTAAAATTGCGTATCTCTTTTATGTCTGCGTTCTAATGGCGATTTGGTTAAGAAAGTGGATCACAATTTGGACAATATGACTTATTATTTTATGAGTGTTGACATTGTCCCAATTACGACACGCTGGATCTCGGTCGTAGATGCAGAATTTTTTTAATTAGCATGCAGGATTAATCACTAACCAAAGGAAGGATTTAATTAGCATGCAGGATTAATAACCAGCCAGAGGAAGAATGAAACTTTAGCAAGGTACATCAATAGGTAATATGTCTCATTATCTCATCGTATCTAGAAACTACATTCAATAATTGGTTGTTAAACCTATTCTTACTCCTGATAATTCTATTTCATTAAGTCTCGCTCTAAATAAGACAATAAATTTACATAATATACTTTTTCTTAGATATTTTCCGTCTCGCGGATTATAACTTTTTTTGCTAATAAAATCATTTTACATTGCAAGTGTCTAACATTATATCAGGAGATGTTATATCTTCAGGCGATCTGGGGCCATACTTTCAAAACTTGCTAAGTGAACGTAAGTACTTACGCTCTATTTTCTTGTCTATGATTGGTGGATTTTGCTTGAAACTGTCAATGATTGGCTGATGAACTTACGATCTCTTAACTTTATTTGAAAGTATAGGCCCTGGTCCGTAATTTGCTAGGCATTTTAAGACTGAACATTTTCATTTTAGCTTCGTCTAGTCTGTTATTGAAGGCGTTCATACTCGGAGCGTCAACGATGCTATCAGGGAGGCTGTTCCACATGTAGATTTTGAAGGCAATTATAGCGAGCTGATTGTAATTATTATTAACTACGATCTATATTAAGATATTAATTACGATTTATTGATGGAATAAAGAAGGCTATTTGCCCAATTATTTGCTAACCACCATATTCATCTAATTATGGGCCAGTTAATAATTCATACTGTTTTACAATAACCAGTTAAAGTCTTCAACGTAACAAAGTAGCTGACTCCAAATCTAGCCCCGTATTAAGTTACTTGAATTAAATTATGTTTGGATATTTTAGCCCGCGTACGAGTGTACATTATATAATAATATTACAATTTATTTGTATAATAATGAAGAACTATGTACCACAGCGACATGTTTTGTTTCGTTCTATCTTTCCTTAGTACAAAATAACGAGAGTACATTCATAACTTTTGACCGACTATCGGTTAATCAGTGATGAATACGGTTCAAATGTGTTGGCATTTCATTATAATTAATTTGTNATTAAATGGAAGTATTGTGCGTTAGAAAAATGCATTGATAGAAGTTATTTCTTCTATGCAAAAGATGCATTGAAGAAGATATTTCTTTTTTGAAGTTACATTTGATGTAAGCGTTACATTCACTTCGACTCATTCATCTGGGTGTGCCAATTAAAACTGATATGAAATATCATGCTACATTATTTTATTTTCCTATCGCTTTTTTCCTCTCAACAAGACTAGAAGTGGAGCCAGCGGTAATTGGAGTCTGAAATTATGTCTGCCTTGTACAACTTGGTTAAACTTGGAACTGATAATGATATTCAACGCAATGGGACAGGGTGACCCAATGGTTACAGTTCAGAGTACCAGGATTGGCGCAGAGAGGCGCGGGTTCGAACGGTGACTCGAAGCGAGAAGAAATGTTGTCGCGTGGATGTGTTCCAATGCTGTTTTTGGAAACTTGGAACTGATAGTGATACTCAACGCTAAGAAACTAGTTTGCTCGTCATGCGAGAATTATCTTATTACTAAGCTGACACCGCATTAAATATATTACTATTATAAATATTACTGACACTTCGTATGGGAGCATGTAACGATTCGAAACGGTAACGCTGGTCTGATGAAACGCAGACTTAGTAGATGAGTTGAAGTTAGGGTTGACTTGTAAAATCGTTGACTGATTTTAATGTGCTGAGTTAACTGACGCTAAAACTGTAACTCCTGCTGAAAAAGTGTTACATTTGTATTTATATGCGGAGGATGCCAAAAATTGTCTAGTTGATAATAAAACTGCGTGATATCTTATTGAGTGCAACGGCACAGCGCTCCCAATTTCTGCGGTTGTTACTTGAAGTAGTAAAAGTAGTCATATAGAAAGCTATATATAATATAGAAAAAGTTAAAATTTTCCGTAATTGTTTAACGAACTGAAAAAAAAATTGTTCTGAAAATTCGACAAACCGAAAAAATTCTCTTTTATCGGGCATGAACAACTCAATTGGTTTTCTAAGTTGGAATAAGGATTGCGGTCCTGGTCGCAATTAATGCAACTGAATTGGCGATAAATGTAACACCAATTAAAATTAGTCTAAATTTGACATATGATACTCCGGGTTGGGTCCTGTGGGTCGCTGAGTTCTTTTTCAAAATTTAACTATAACTGTGATTTTATTTTAATGACAGCATCAGAAGTCAGGTGAGACTGGTGAGAAAACCAGTCATAAACATCGCGCATTACATCGGTTCGGTGAAAATACTGTTTACATTGAAACAAAATTAAACCTGCTGAGTCCAGGTGTAACAAGAGGTCACTGCGCAACTACTTCCTCACCTACAAACTGGAAACAACAACAACAAAATACTGTTTAAAGTACCTATATTTTCTTTCAAAATTTAATAATTCGTATAATACACATAAATTTTTTGATCGTATACCAATTTTTATTTTATTTATCTACATGGAATTTTTCAAGGCGGGATTTAAAAACACGAATTCCGTCGTTCAGACCAATTGCCATTCAAAAGTATGCGCGGGACTCCAACGTTTAGACGTGATTGCGTCGGTGCAACTGCAAGGCACTGGTGTGGACTGTGGTGTGCAAAGGGCAAACCACCAACCTCAATTTAAAGTTATCACCATTAGAAGTTAAAATTCTATGGTAAATTAGCAAAGTTTTGCTGCCGATTGTCGAAGAAACATTTTTTTCAGTTGATTTTCGAGGTTCGTTTTTTTTTCTTGTAAACTCTGCTGAGTCTACTCGGCTACTCCAAGTGCTCCTGATTGTTTTGTTCAAGATTTAGCCTAGGTAGGTATTGTGAATCAGAATCATGAATGTGATCATTGTGATTTATTTTGTTGATTGTTATTAGTTTTTTAATGTGATACTCCTAATTCGTGATGGCCTGCAATTTAGCAATATATGCTTGATCAGGATTTAGGCCCTGGCCTAATTTGAAATTGAATGTTTAAAAGACACACACAGATCGTTCCAAGCTATGTACAAAAATTGAAATTTGCTTAATTAAAAGCTTAATAGTTGTTAATTAAAAGCGTAATTAAGTAGTGTTTAATATTCATTAGTGCTCTAATTCAATGCCGTGTTGTATTCCAATACAGCTCACACAGCAAACGGAATTTGAACACGTGGATGATGACATTATGTATCAGTAGAATTTGAAGCGCGGACGGAATACGCCCTACCAGGTGCCGAATATTGCCACACACAGTGTTGGAATATAGGGATCTGGTAGGTTTGCATTCTAAAGGCTTTTAAATAAATATGGCAACATTTTGTGACGTTTCATCATTGCTGGTGCAGTGGCGCGTAGTATGGTGTTTTGTGAGTCACATAAAGCAAACAGAACTCGAGTAACGCATACGGTTATTTTTTTATAGTTTTTCATTTCTTGATGCGTCCTTAATGTGTCGGAATATAGGTACCGCATTTACCCTATGTGTGAAAATGTAGAATTTTTTCTAATTTAAACATAAAAAATTAGGCAAAAGGCCAAAAAGGTGAAATACTGAAATTGACAGTCAGTGTACCTACTATTAAACTTGTTTTCAGCATTTTCTTATTAAAAATAACCCAGCGTTGCATCTTGAAAATGGCATGCAATGCTTTAGGCTAAAAATCCATATCTTGGCGAGTGGAGATGCTGCTTGCCGCTTGCACCCTCTGCACCCTGTTTTAGTGTTTAAGCATTAGAAAGCTCCTGAGCCTCTTGTTCACTTGTTGTAGGCTACCGACTAGGGTAATGAGGTAATAACTAATAAGGGATAATTTTGAGCATTTTTCACTAATAATTTCTTACCATTAAACATTTCATAAATGAGTTTGAGCTTATTTTAAAAGTCTTTGTGAGGGCTATTGTATGGCTGTAGCATCTCTGAAAAAATTCCATATGCTATTTGTAAGGTGCCAGAGGCAAAAGAAAAGTGTCCTGAATTCACCTGGGAATGAGGTACTTTGAGACACTTCATATATAACTTGATTTTAAAATATTTAAAGCATGCAGAGCAGACATGGAATATATCTACTTGGCAAGCCTCAACTGAATTTTTCAAGTCATGGATTTATGGGTTTTCTAGCCGTGATTCCATTTCTTCAAGCCATGAATTTCATTTCTTCAAGCCGTGAATTCCATATCTAGTTTATGAAAAGTCATATACCTAAGTCATCTTGGCCATGAAAAGCAACTTAAGTCAGTCATTTAAGTGGCACCTGAACATACACGTGATTATGCAGTCTGACCGCTCTGACATGACAACAACTAAGCAATCTTCAAGGAAACCTTTGGGTTCACTTGTTGTGTTGTTATTACGTTCTGCAGGATATTTTGGCAGGAGGTTGAAGTAATGCGGATTATGGAAGTTGAAAATTTTATGAAACAACATGTTTGCAAAGTGCAAACTGCAATTTTTTCAATCAAACAAAAATACGTGGAGTTAGAGACTCAAGATTTCATACCTACTGAAATTACAGTGGGGGGAAATAAATATTCGTACACTTGAAAAATTGTATTTTAATGTATGTAAGTACACAAACTTAACAGGAAAAGTGATTTAAATTATGTATAGAGACAGTTGCATTGAGATTTAATTTCTATTGATGCTATTTTTTAATACAATGCGCCTCTATACATAATATAAATCACTTCTCCTGTTCAGTTTGTGTACTTACATACATTAAAATACGATTTTTCAAGTGTACGAATATTTATTTCCCCCCACTATATGATATTAGAGCTGCAATATTTCAGAAAAAATAGGACTTTTCTCAACCTGCTGCAGAATGTACTCATCTATTACTAACAATACTCTGAAGTCTTCCTTTTCCTTTGTAGATGATGTGGATGTAGAATAAATTAATTTTTTTCTGATTTTTACTTGTTTTTCCATTATTGATGTGATATTACCATATCCATGGACATGCCATTGAGCATTGACAACAATCTTGTAATTTCTTCTCTATCTGTAAGCTAACTAACAGGACTGGGCTTGTAATTTTGCACCATTTTGATTGGGTCTAGAGAATTCACTATAAAAAAAGATTCTAAAAAAAAAAAGGAATATTTTAGTGACCCCCTCATATTTTTTGCAAAAATAAATAGTAGTTTAAATTAATTACTTTTTATTCTATATTGCCCAGTGCACAATTCTATCTATGACGTTCTATGCACATTTTTGTGGTGACTGATGATGCATGAATTTTTTGTTATGTTATTTTTTTTGCAGAGCAGTTAAGTGACTTTTTTTTGCTGAGCAGGAAATGACTTTTTTTTTTGCTGAGTGAGGTAAATGTAATAAAAATTCTTTGTTGTTAATTGAATTTTTCATTAACTGGAGCCTTTGCTAACCAAGGTTCTACTGTGTATGTGTTTTTAGGGGTGTCCCATATTTTCCTGATGGGGGGGCGTAGCTTATTACCCCGTCGTGCAGAAATAGCCACCATTTTGTTTTGTATTGAGGTACAAAAATTATGTCAATGAAGTTTTAGAGCTGAAACCTATCTGCAACTTCTTTTTAAACCAAATTTTTCAATACTGTGAATATTTTTTTACTACAGAGTGCAGACCTTAGCAGAAGTACTGTCAAACAGGGTACAATAAGGGACAGGCAGGATGAATTGAGACAGTCCTCCATCATTTCATAGAAATATTGAAGCAGCTGAGCTAATTGAAATATTGCAAAATTAAAAATTGTGGCATAAAGTTTAACATTTTTCCTATCTATGTAGCACAAAGCAAGTTAGTGAATCATACATTTACTACCTCTAAAAAATCCCTGAAAAAAGTGTGAAAAGTGAGATTTTGGAAAAGTAACTCTGCTAAGGTCTGTAGCAGAAGAAAATATTCACCATATTAAGAATTTTACCTACATAAAAGTTGCACACAGGTGCTGGCTTAAAAACATGAGTGACAGAATTTGCGTATCTCATTAAAAAAATGGCAGCCATTTCCACACTATGGGGTAATAAGAAACACCCCTAAAACGCATTTACAGTAGAACCTCAGCTAGCAAGGGCTCCAGTCAATAAAAAAATCAGCTAACAACAAAAATTTTTGAGTAAATTTACCTTGCTCATCAAAATCACAAAATTTTGCATAGAATGTCATAAATAGAATTGTGCACAAGGCAACATAGAATGAAAAGTACCGAAAATGGGGTAACTTAGACCGCTTTTATTTTTATAAATGATGCCATTTTTTTACTAGCTAAATTAAACTTGAATTGAAACATGCAAAATACAGGTCTATACTCTAGCTTCACTCACCATAAATTGCTGGCTCCTGCCTCTCATAGTCTTTATGTAATTTCAAAAAAAGTGATGGTCTTTGTTACCCCAGCTCTTGGGGTAACTTAGACCGGGTGGTAAAATCAATTATATTTTTTGGTAAAATAACTCCAAATAATTCCAGGTTTTGGTGCATTGTAGTAGAACTCTTCTAGTTACATATGCAAATGACAAACTTGAGGAAAGTGTTATAGTTTGCAAATGGGGGCGCCGCCTCCAAATGGGCGAAATGTGACCATCTAATGGCAGCCGTGATGGGGAAACATAGACTGGTTTGGAAATTAAGTTAAAATTACCATATATAAGACTCTGTAGAGTCTGAAACATAAAGAAAAAACATAAATAGGCTGTCAAACATAAAATATGTTATATATGGTAATTTTATATTAACTTCCAAGCCGGTCTATGTTACCCTGTCAGGGCTGACATTAGGTGGTCTAAGTTACCCCATTTGGGGGCAGCGCCCCCCATTTGCAAACTATGACACTTTCCTAAAATTTGTTGTTTGCATATGTAACTAGAAGAGTTCTACTACAATGCAGCAAAACCCGGAGTTATTTAACCAAAAAATGAAATAATTGGAGGGTGTACTCTGACAGGCTTTAAATAATAGCTTTTTTCGTGGGTCACATTTTTAATTTTTTAACCTATTAGATATGCAAACTTTTTAAATTTTTCTATTGTGTTATGTAGCCTCAGTATTAGGCCTTTAATGCCCATTGACAGAATTTTTCTATGTCAAATAGTTTTTGAGTTGTGGGGGTTTTTGTTAAAAAAACGAAAAGTGGTCTAAGTTACCCTGCCGGTCTAAGTTACCCCATTTTACGGTAATTAACCTAAACTATGATTTATTTCTCCAAAACATATGATGATTGTCACTGAAACATTTCTTTCTGTTTCAGGTACATTTTCTACAATTTTTCATAGTGAATTCACTTAACCCAATTTAAATGGTGTGAAATTACAAGCCATCCTGTAAGCTTACAGATTTAGAAGAAATGCTACATGGCTGCTGATATGAAGCTTGCAGTAGACAAGGTTGTTGTAAATGCTCAATGGCAGGTCCATGGATACAGTTATATCAAATCAATAATACGGGAAAGTATGGATATGGTAATATCATATCAAGGGAAAAGCCAGAACAGATCACTGAAACTGTTATTTATTCTATATCTAAATCATCTACAAATGAAGAGGAGGACTTCAGAGTACTGTTAGTAATGGATGAGTGCACTCTGCATGCTCAAGCATTTTAAAATTAGTTTTAATTCAAGTGCCCTGAATTACCCCCTTCCCAGGGATAATTCAAGAAACTTTTATTTTGCTTCTGGCACCTTACAAATAGCATATGGAATTTTTTGTATTTTTTGTAATGCCTTTGCTAATACCTTTAAAATTAGCCCAAACTTGTTTATATGTTTCATGGTAAGAAGTTGTTAACAAAAATGATCAATACCATCCCTTATTACCCTGTTTGACAGTACCGTAAAATGGGGTAACTTTGACCACTTTTTTTCAAAATGATGCCATTTTTTTACTAGATAAGTTAAACTTAAATTGAAACATGCAAAATAATTTTGATGTAACTTCAAAAAAAGTGATGGTCTTTGTTACCCCAGCTCTTGGGGTTTCTTTGACCGGGTGGTAAAATCAATTTTATTTTTTGGTAAAATAACTCCCCCCCCCCATTTGCAAACCTTGACACTTTTCTAAAATTTGTCTTTTGCATATGTAACTAGTAGAGTTCTACTACAATGCATCGAAACCTGGAGTTATTTTACCAAAAAATAAAAGAATTGGAGGAGGTACTCCGACAGGCTTTAGATAATAGCTCTTTTTTGTGGGTCACATTTTTAATTTTTTAACCTATTAGATATGCAAACTTTTTAAATCTTTCTATAGTGTTACAATAATTACATAGCCTCAGTATTAGGCCTTTGATGGCCATTGACAAAATTTTTATATGCCAAATCGTTTTTGAGTTTTGGGGGTTTTTGTTAAAAAAACGAAAAGTGGTCAAAGTTACCAAGCCGGTCAAAGTAACCCCATTTTACGGTAATAAGGGACAGGCAGGATGAATCGAGACAGTCCTCCATCATTTTATAGATATGTTGTAGCAGATAAACCAATTGAAATATTTCAAAATTTAAAATAGTTGCATAAAGTTCAACATTTTTCCTATCTATGTAGCGTAAAGCAAGTTAAGAAATCATTCATTTACAACCTCTGAAAAATCCCTGAAAAAAAGTGTGAAAAGTGAGATTTTGGGAAAAGTACCTCTGCCAAGGTCTGTAGCAGAGAAAATTTTTGCTGTATAAAAAAATTTTCCTTGAGAAGAGTTGCACACAGGTGTTGGCTTATAAACATGATTGAGACAAATTTTCAATGCTCAATCCCAAAATAATTTGCCTTTTCCGCAAGACAGGGTAATAATGGTCACCCATAAAAATGTATTTACAGTAAAACCTTGATTACCAAAGGCTCCAGTTAACCAAAAAATTGATAACCAACAAAGAATTTTTGATTACATTTACCTTGCTCAGCAGAACTTTGGAGGACTATTAGTAATTGATGAGTACACTCTGCATGCTTCAAGCATTTTAAAATTAAGTTTTATTTCAAGTGTCCTGAATTACCCGTTTGCAAGGATAATTTGAGACACTTTTATTTTATGTCTGGCACTTTACAAATAGCATATGGAATTTGTTGTATTTTTGTAATGCCCTTGCTAATACCTTCAAAATGAGCCCAAACTTGTTTATGGTATGTTTTATGGTAAGAAGTTATTGATGAAAAATGCTCAAAACCGTCCCTTATAACCATGTTTGACAGTACATTTTCAAAATGTCACTTGTCAAAATTTTTTGCAGGGAATTTTTAGAGCTAGTAAATGTACAAATTCTAAAATTCCTTTATGCTACATAGATAGGAAAAATGTTGAAGTTTATGCCACTATTTTTAGTTTGCAAAATTTCAAATAGTTTTGCTGCTATAACATTTTTACTCCGTGGTGGAGGACTGTCCCAATTTACCCCGCCCGTCCCTTATTACCTCATTTGACGGTACTCAAAAAATCTTTAACCGTTTCTCTATTCATGGCAGTAATAAAATTTTGTTTTTTAACTGTTCACATATCAATGGCAGTAATGAGTTCTGTTCTTTAACTGTTCTCATATTCATGCCATAATAAAATTGCATTTTCCAACTATTCGCATATTCATGTTGGTAATAAAATTTTCTTCTTTAACACGTTAAGTGCGGCAACGACCCACAGCGCTGGCAGCTGGCCTGAAAACGGCCAAGTCTGCTGCTAAAAAGGCCTATAATTCAAAATACACTAGTAAATTTGTAGGTTCAGGTGCAAAAATTAAATTTTCCTTTTTTCGTACAGTTTATATTATAATGAGGCAGTACTACCATCATAAATTTTTGTCGACTAACGCAATTGAAAAAAAAAAAAAATTGCGGAATTTATCCTGAAGAAAGACCCTGCCACCCACCCGTGGGTCATCCCGCACTTAACGTGTTAACTGTTCTCATATTTATGCCAGGAATAAAATTTTCTTCTGTAACTGTAACTGTCTTCTTTCTGTTTTTTTCTTCTTCTGTAACTAATCTCTGAACAAAAAGAGACTAGGTTTGTTCTAGCTAATAGTGCATCTGTCCACCTTTCAGTGTCATCTGCCCCATGGATTTATTCAATATTGTTTACAGATCTTGAAAGGTACGCAGATCCAGTTGTGAGATCATCAACACATTAACACATTACCATGGAATGTTCTCCAACTGATGCAACTACGGCACAAAATGCCAGCGGTTTAAATGAAGATTCAACGCAGTCTTTGACTGACACTACAGGTTGGTTCAATCTTGGGTTCTAGCAAGATGAAGATGAATATAGAATTTATATTTTAGTGTCTTGTGTGCAATTGTTTTAAATTATAGCTATAAAATTAGTAGGTTTATATTGAATACTGGCATAATTTTGTAATAATGAAGTACTATATTCATGTAGTGTTTAAAAATAATATCTAACTTAATAACATATTTTCTGTTATTTTACAATTTATTTTTCTGCAATTTGCAAGTCTGATGCCATATTTTTTAATTTGATTCATTTATTTTTTTTTTGAGTGAAAAGATCATAGGATATAATTTTTAAAAAATGATTGTACAAAAGCTTTAATATAAATTTTTCAAACTGTATGAATATCAATTATGTAGAATCGCATTTATTTTTACTTCTAAATTTAATAATTAAATTACTAATAAGAATTCAGATACTGATGATGTTTCAACTCATCATTTTTTATTTATATAAAAAATAAATCCAATGGATGCATGGAAATGCTGTTACTTCTGTGAAAGAATTGAAGCAAAACCTAAATATTTTTCATGGAAGTCAATCCTGCCCAAATTTTTCTGCAATGCAACCAAGAAGATCCTTATGATGAACTGTTGTTAGTGGGCAATTGTTCAGAATATAAACATAATATATTTTCAAGTAAAAAATATGCTTTTTGACTTTGATAGAAAATAAGAGAAAATCAATAAATAAAAATGAATACCGTCAGGTGGGGTGATTTCAGCCACTGGGGGTGACTTTGGCCACCACTGCAACAGAAACAAATGGCAGCAAAACAAAATAATTTACATTGGCCAAAATGCTGGGGTGACTTTAGCCAACATTTATTATTTTGTTTTGCTGCCATTTGTTTCTGTTGTAGTGGTTTATTTTGTTTTGCTGCCATTTGTTTCTGTTGTAGTGGTTTATTTTGTTTTGCTGCCATTTGTTTCTGTTGTACCGTAGTGATGGCTGAAGTCACCCCTGGTGGCTGAAATCACCCCACTTGATGGTAATAATAATTAGGAAGTGAATTGCACAGCAACATCTGTCACTGCAAGCTTGCTGTGAGAATTGATAGTTTTGTTGACGTTATTTTATATGTATAATATATTATATATGTACATGAGTGAGGCAAAGTTTTTAACTGAAAATATATTTATGTAAATACCTATACATATTAGACTGCTTATATGTATAATACATTATAGTATACATGAGTGAGGCAAAGTTTTTAACTGAGAATATATTTATATAAATACCTATACATTTTAGACTGTGCAAGACAATTGCAGAAACTGTTTCAATTTTGTCAGTTATGTAGACTGGCTCTTGGTTTACCCAAAAATATTTAAATGAACGCAATTAAATCATATTTAATGTAAAATATATTACATTAAATAATAAATTAGCCCAATAAATAATATTGTAATAAATAGAAAAATAAAATATCAAATTACCCATAAATATTTATATATTTAAATGAACGCAGTTGTCATTTAAATTAAATTTGTATTTAAAGAATCCTGATATGTACACAACTATTCATATTCCTCTTCTAACTTTTGCTTTTTTATAGAATAAAAATAATTATTATTATATATATTTTTTGCAGGTGCTGCTACCAATGCCAGCAAATCAGATGAGAAAGCCATGCAGGTAATAACTCTGCTGTTACATTCTGTTGATTTAACACTGTTAAATTAAAATTAAATTTAATTTTATACCGTTTCTTTGTAAATTTGATTTAAGTTTTTCTCTGGATCAGCATGGCTGCTTCAATTTAGGTTAGTTTTTATGTTTCCACTAATCTATTATATATTTGTAAACGTTTATGTGTTTATTCACATTACTTTAGGTGTTAAGATATTACTTGTTGATAAATGTTATTGTTGGCTGTATCATGAGACTTAGTTAAATGTAGTGAGAGGTAATTAGTTAAGTGTTTGTTAGATCATATCTTTCTTTATTAAACATACTAAAGATTATATAATTATTAACTGGATTTGAAACAAAGAGGTAATGGATAACAAGGTTCTAAATGACCAAGATTATGGGGTTCTGAATGACCAAGATTATGAGGTTATGAATGACCAAGATTATGGGGTTCTGAATGACCAAGATTATGAGGTTATAATGAGGTTCTGAATGACCAAGATGATGAGGTTCTGAATGACCAAGATGATGGGGTTCTGAATGACCAAGTGAAAATAATGAAAAGTGAACACTTAAATTAAGAAATTGAACAAGTTAACGCGAACATGGGTATCGTAATAGGGTACAGAACTCTTCTTTCATATGCTAGGGCACAGCATAGTAGATGTTCGTCACAACACAGTACCAGATTATATATGCACAACACTGAATCTTCTTGATAGCCTCTTGTGATCTTCTATCCGGGTTGAGTTCTCCATACATGAACAAAATCAAATTTACAGTTAGTCGAGTAATTCCCTACCAGATATCTCACATAGTATCAACACACCAAATAAATACAATATTGATAAATATCGACAGTTACACATACCTCTGCAGTTGTCTGAATTCACTAAACTAGTCCTTGCTTTGGTCCCACAACAAGTCAGCTCTGAATTCTTACACTGCTACGGGATCGTCAATCCTATATTAAAAATTTATTTTTCAGGGGCCAAGTGTTCAAGATATATAGTCTGTGACAAGGTACTACATAGTCCAGCAACATAAAGACATTCTGGCTTGATAATAAAGTTGTATTGAAGATAAGAAGTCAAGCATACCAGTATGCTTCATAAGTGTAATGATTCACAAGGTGAATATCTCAACTGCAATGCTGGGAAAAATTCACAGCTTATGAGGAAAAACTGTTGAGCCAAGATTATGGAATGAAATAACTTGTTTCATTTCATTCCATAATAACTTATTCTAAGTCCAACACATTAGCTACTATTGTTCTTATTCTCCCTGCGTTTCCCACAGTACACCTGAATATTCAGCTAAGATCCCTACACAATGCATGTAGCTCTGGTGATCTCAACTTCTGAATACAATTGCTTCTAATTTTCATGAGCTAGAAAGCAAGCAAACCTAGAAAATTCCAAATCAAAACTAGAAACGCTTGCTTGCTAGAAATTTAGTATTCCAAAATTGTTCTATTATTATGAAGTTTATTATCCTGCATGGAGAACTACAGCTTCTAGTGTACTCAACTCAGATCAGATAGGATCTGTAATGATCTGTAATTTTTTGTTATAAAACTCGAGAAGGTTTAATGATAAAACCCAGTGATGATTTTTTGTTTATGGATAGAAGAGTAATAAAAATAAGGAATGAAAAAATAATTTCATAATAATATCAATGAATGAAATGATTATGGAATGAAATGAAACGAGTTATTTCATTCCATAATCTTGGCTCAACAGTTTTTCCTCTTGAGCAGTGAATTTTTCCCAGCACTGCAGTTGAGGCTATGCACCTTGTGAATCATTACACTTATGAAGCATTATACCTAAATGCTTGACTTCTTATCTTCAATACAACTTTATTATCAAGCCAGAATGTCTTATGTTGCTGGTTATGTAGTACCTTGTCACAGACTACATATCTTGAACACTTGGCCTCTGAAAAAAAAATTTTTAATATAGGATTAAGCCAATAATATTTTTCAGACTTAAATTGAGGCTGTGAAGAAAGCATGATTTTCAGTATAAAAATAATCAATTTATTATTTTCAGTTTAAAAATAACCCAATTATATTTTTCATAGTTAATCGAGGCTGTGACGGAAGCATTATTTTCAGTATAAAAATAATCCTATAATATTTTTAAGAGTTTATTCGAGCCTGGGATCAAAGCATCTATTTCAGTATAAAAATCAATTTATTATTTTCAGTATAAAAATCAATTTATTATTTTCAGTATAAAAATATTCCTACAATATTTTCAGAGTTTAATTGAGGCTGTGATGGAAGGATGATTTTCAGTACCTATAAAAATAATCAATTTGTTATTTTCAGTATAAAAATAATCAATTTATTATTTTCAGTATAAAACTAATCCTATAATATTTTTCAGAGTTTAATTGAGGCTGTGACAGAAGGATGATTTTCAGTATAAAAATAATCAATTTATTATTTTCAGTATAAAAATAATCAATTTATTATTTTCAGTATAAAAATAATCAATTTATTATTTTCAGTATAAAAATAATCGTATAATATTTTCCAGAGTTTAATCGAGGCTGTGAAGAGACGGCGCCGTTCATCACTATTCCCCGTCCCCCCAGCAGCGGGGGCTGGGAGCCCCGCAGCCAAGGAGGGCGGTGGCGCCCTGCCAGACCGCAGCACCCGGAGGAGCATCGGGGGAGCCAGGAGGGTGTCTGTCACCCGACGTTCTCTGTGTTATGGCCCCCCTCCCCCACTGCTTTCCCTACGGGGTAATGTCCCCCTAATGCGACACCATTTATTTATTTCAACGATTTTCATTTTTCTCACAAGAATTTGTTTATATGAATTGGGACACATAAGAATAGTCTGAGTGTTCCAGAAACTGTTGAATATTTAAGTGGATAATTATTTTATTGAAGATATTTTGGAGAATTTAAGAAAAGCATGAAATTGTCTTACAACGTTGTTTATTTTACATGGAATGTCATTATCTTAAACTTATTTGTTAATATATATATAATGTAAATGAAACAAATGTTTCAGATAACGTGGAACGCATACAAAGCAGCAGCGG